CTAGACTAAGAACGTAACTAAGAGAACCCATATTTTTCATCTCAAAATAAGAGCTGAGAAAATGTTTCAGCTCATGAATGCCATCCAAATCATCACTAGTAGTAATCATATCATCAACATAAAGCAGTGAAAAGTAATACCACATGCCTTCTTCCGAATAAAAATAGTAGAATCATAGGTACTAGAAGAGAACCCAAACTGAGCAATGGTAGCATTAAACTTGGAAAAACCAAGCACGAGAAGCCTGCTTAAGACCATAGAGAGCACGACGAAAGCAACAAACAGTATTTTGAGAATGCTCATAGCCTGGAGGAGGCTGCATGTAAACTTCCTCAGTAAAATCACCATTGAAAAATGCATTCTTGACATCCATCTAAGATAAACCCCACTGATGCAAGGCAGCAACAGTAAGTAAATTACAAACTAATGTAAGATGGGCAACATGAGCAAAGGTCTTCTCATAATCAATACCATACTCCTGAGTGAAACATTTGGTAACAAGACGGGCTTCATAACGTTTAATTGTACCATTAAAATGAGTTTTGATTTTATAGACTCATTTACAACCAATAGGAGTTTTGCCAGGAGGAAGAGCAACCATATCTTATGTATGTGTCTTGTGTAAAGTCTGTAATTCATCTGCGATTGCTTGTTGCCAAAGAGGATTAGTACAAGCTTCATGATAAGTATGAGGTTCATGTTGACTTAGAATGGTAGAAAAATAATGATAATCTTGTAAATAACTTAGTTGTTTGGATACACGTTTCGAAAGAGGGACAACAGTGAGGATCATGAGAGTCACTACTAGAAGAAAGAGGAGACTCTAAAGAACTAGCAATATTAGTACTCTTAAGGGATGGTAACAAAACATGATACATGATCAGTAGGTAGAACAAGATCATCAGGAATAGCCAGAGAACCACTAGAAATAGAGGTATCTGTAGGAGCATTATCAGGGAAAAGATCAATGGAAGGATTAGTGAAATATGAAATTGTGGAAGTGGAAGAAATAGAGAATTTAGAGATTGAAGAGAAGATTTGTGTTCCTAAAAAATGACATGGCGAGAGATACGAAGACGGTAAGAGACATGATTTCAACATTGAAACCCTTTATGTTCTATGCCATAGCCTAGAAGCAACACAATTGCAATCGTGATTGTAACTTGTTGCGTTTATAGGGAGGAAGGAGAACAAAACAAGTACAACCAAAGACTTGGAGTTTTGTGTAGGAAGGAGATATACCATGGAGACATTCATATGGGGTTTGATTTTCAATGATAGGAGATGAGATCCGGTTAATAGTGTAAACAGCCGTAAGGGCATCTTCACTCAAAAAACGCTTAGGACAAGAACAGATGAAAAGAGCTCTGACTGTATCAAGAATGTGCCTAGGTTTACGTTCAGCACGACCATTTGGCTGGGATATATGAGGATAAGAGTGATGGGGAAGTGTACCATACTTACGAAGAAGTTTTAAAAAACTAATTTCTTTATATTCTTGAGCATTGTCAGATCAAAAAACTTCAATAGAATAACCAAATTGAGTTTTAAACATTTTAGCAAAATCAAAATAAGTTTGAGACAGCTCAGAACGTTATTTTAAAATATAAATCTAAGTGAATTGAGAATAATCATCCACAAAAATGACAAAGTACAGAGTTCCCTTAGTGGTATTGAGAGAAGGACTCCAAATATTAGAGTGAACTAAATCAAATGGAAATTTTGAAACGGAATCACCATAAAAGGCAAAGCTAGTTGTTTAGCAAGTTGACAAGAGGGATAATCATTATTATGATTCGAAGAAACAAAGCCTAAATTTCCATTAGTTACTAAGGTACACAGCCGACCAAAAGAAACATGCCCTAATCTAGAATGCCAAAGATCAAGAGAAAGAGCGGATAGATGCAAAAAACAGTAAATGGAGATTGATGAGCTCAAACAGACGTCCAGTTTTACACCCTATCCCAATAGTCTATCATGTGCGTAGATCTTAAACCTGACAACTAGAGGAGGAAAATAAAACAGTTAAACCAAGTTCACAAAGTTGACTAACAGAGATAAGATTTAGGGTGAGGGTAAGAATATGATAAGTATCAAAGAGAGACACAGTAGAGGTAGAGACACTACCAATATGATTAACAGACATGTGAGTGCCATCAGTAGTATGAATAGTAGGTAAAGTACCGAAAAAAGTAAAAGATGAGAAAGTAGTAGAATCTGATGTCATATGATTATAACATACAGAATCAAAGAACCGAGAAGAGTAACCTGAGGTGATAGATAAGGCAGTGTTGTGAGAGGAAACAAAATAGGCTTGTTGAAGCATGGCCTCCATATCATTTTGCAAATAATATGGAGTAGATGGATTTATAAGAGAAGAGGAATTCTTAACAGCAGATTGAGAGACAAGTTTATACCGAGACCCTGATTTATAGTGACCACCTATTAAGTTCCTAGATGAGTAGTTATTCCGAGATTGTTTTTGAGGACAATAATACTCAAAGTGGCCATGCCCTTGTTTGTGACAAGTACAACAATCCCTAACTGGATAATGAAGAAGAGAATGACTAAAACTGAGACCACGATTCTTACAGTACTGACAAATTTAAGTGAAGGAGCTAGAAGGAGTCTGTGAGTGAGAAATAGCTAGAACAATGTCAGTAGTGGTCTTGAAAGTACCAAAGCGAGTCTTCTAAGACAAGAGTTCAGTCACAGCTTGTTCAAGAGTGAGTAAAGGATCCTGATGCAGTAGAAAAGCTCGAACATGTTCAAAAACTAGAGTAAGGGCCATAAGAAACTCAACCAAGCGATTTTCATCGCGATAATCAACAAAGGACTGGGCATCTTTGTTATCCACCCAAACAAGCTCACAAACAACAAGCTAATCCCGTAAACTATACATGGATGATAAGAAATCATTAATGGACTGACCTGATGCTTAACGTTGACCATGGAGACTAGTTCGAATCTAATACCGATGGAAAAACCCAGTAGTGCGATATCGATCTTTAAGAAAGTCTCATATAGATTTAGCAAGAGTAGGGTTGGTATCAATTTAAAATCACCAAAGCTAGAGATGAATTAAAGTGGTAGAAGTGTTTCGAAACTAGGTAATAATAAGATAATTTTTACCATCCCATGTATTCAGGTGGTCAATTAATTTGGCTTCAGTTTTATCCATGGCTTGGACTGGTTTCTTCAATTCGCTAGTGATAACTCACCATAATTGTCGTCCTTTGAGAAAGCCAGACATAGCTTAAGACGAGAAAAGATAGTTGGTGCCATCAAGAACCGCAAAAATTGGTTGAACAGGGTTAGAGCGATCCATTTAGACAGGAAATACAAAAAACAGTGCAGAAAATAACAGAATTTGAAAAAATAGAGGTGATTATTGAACTCATAAAGCAAAAAAAAAAAACCTTGGGAACCAGTTCAAATACACTAAAAACAGTGCTAAAACAGAGTAAATCGGCCAAAAAATAACCAGATGACATCAGCGTACAACAAGAGGCGCTAGGGCTGACATCAACCAAGAGGTGTAGAGATGATATCAACAAGACGCGTGCAAGTGTCAAGAGGCGCGATGGCTGACGTCAGCGAAGATGCAAGTGACGCATTAGGGTTGACGTTAGCAAAGACAGCGGAAAGGTGCACGTGTGAAGGAGCGTGTTAAGTAAACCATCAGCAAGGGGCACGTAGATACGAGTGTTGAGATTGGTGGCATGTTGTTAGATTTACCATGGAAAATGAAGAATGGGCATTTCGGAGTGAGGTTGGCGACACAGGAATCGTCGTGGAGAGATGAAGGGTTTGATATGTTTATTTTGTGATTATGGTCACTGATAAGAGAGCCGTAAGGTACCAATAGATCAGGTTGATTTGATGATATGTCGAAAATTGTTACTGGTGGCTGAGAGTGCCGGTGAGGAAGCCAATGGGTAAGATTCAGAACTTGTGCTCTGAGACCATATTAACACAATTGAAGAAATAGAAAAGCGTATTCAGGTTCCGTTTGGCAAGAGCTAAACGGGGTTTTTTTGGCTATTTTAGCCACAAAAGACAAAATAGGCTATTTTAGGCCTAGTTTGGGAAGACTAAATAAGTGCACTTTTTGACTTTTTATGAAATATGGATTGGGTTTGGGTTGGGTTTGAAGTGATGTATTAGAGAGGTGATGTGACTTAAATAAGATAATGTGACTTAAATAGGATAGTGACTTTTTGACTTTTTGTCTTTTTTCAATCTTCCCAAACTAGGCCTTAGTCACAAAAAACAAAACATCACATCTAACCCATAATCATTACATTCTTCTCTCACAAAAAAAGTTAAAAAAGTCAAAAAGCCAAAAAGTCCTTCCCAAACTAAACTTTTTAGCCCAGGCTAAAAAAGTCAAAAAGCCAAAAAGCCAACCCACTTTCCAAACGGAAGCTCAATAATTTGTGCATATTTACTGATACAATACAATAAATACCTGTATATATAGACAAGGAAGAGTAGTGAACAAGAAAGAAATTCTAATATAGAAATAATACATATTATTATATAATATATATACGAAATATATTTATCAATAATCACAATCAATGCCGTATAATGTACACAAAAAATATAAAAAAATATCTTTTAACTAAAATAAGTAATAAACATAAAAAATTTAAATAATTAATAAAATAAAATATTATATCTTATACATTAATCAATCATTTTTTTAATAACCAATCTATTCAACTATAATTTTTTTTTACAAATACTCTTAAATATAACTTTTTTTTTATTTCATAAAAAAATAAAAAAAAAATTAATTAAAATTATCAAAGTTTCAGACGAAAGCTCAGCTTGACCGACGTTGAATCGGGTGTGACATTGACATTGACATCCACAGCGTGGCAAAATGGGTATTTAGTTGAATTCAAGGGTCATTTTGGTAACTACAAAACCTCGAAATCTGACGGCTCACGCGGTTCTGCCCATGCGCTATGTTCCTCGACACGGACAAACCTTAACGTAATCCTAAACCGCCTCTCTCTCTCTCTCTCTCTCTCTCTCTCATTATCATTTTGTCAGTATTTTTAATGTTCTTTAATGTTCGAACGTGTTCGTGTTTAATGATCTGATCTCGAATAAATTATTTTTGCCGAAATTCTCCAATTAATTTTTCAAGCAAAGAAACCCAAATTTTTGTGTTAGAAAATCTCTCTCTCTCTCTCTCTCTCTCTCTCTCTCTGGTTGGTGATTGAGATACATAGAGAGAGCAAGAAGAAATAGAAGAATCAAGCATAGAGTAGAAGAAGAATCAAGCATAGTGAACAAGGAACGGCAATGGTAGAGACGGGGAGCCACCACCACAACCACAGCCACCAGCCACCGCCGCCTCAGGGGAGTCTGCCTTCAATACTTGGAGCTGCGAAGGGCCCCGTTTACCCTCCCGCCGAGCAACTCCTCCAGCTCCAGTACTGCATCCACTCCAACCCTTCATGGCGTCAGTCCCTCTCTCTCTCTCTCTCTCATGAACTCTAGTTATTGGGTTTTCTCTGTTTAGTTAGTTATAGGGTTTGGCAAAGTCATGATCTTTTTATGTCAATTTTTTATCCCTCTGGTTCAGATCAGCTATTTATATAAATATATATATGTATATATATATATTTCAATTTACAAAAATAAGTACCTTTTTATGTGGGATATTCGCCTTTTTTTTTTTTTTTTTTGGGGAAAAGAAACTTTAAAATTGTAGTAATTCTTGATTCTCCTCTTTTTCTCAAGTCCAGTTACTGTTGTATGTTGGATTCCATAACTGTATCCATCTTACACACACACACACACACACACACACACACACACACGTGTGTGTGTAAGTATAGAAGTTTAGTTTTGGTATGGTTTGGTATATTAGACGTGTTGGTATTGAATATAAAATGAAATCTTGCTAAATTTTCCCTTTTGTGGCATTCAACTGTCTTGTGATTTTTTATTTTATTTTTTGGGCTAAGCTCAGCCTTTACCTCTTTGGCAGGTAAGGATTTTGGGTGATTTGAATTTGAGTAATGATATAGAAACATAATTTTTATATGAATTTTATTTTAAAGTAAAACAGTCGCTATTCTGGTTCTTAATCACTGTCTCGTCATTCCGACTGAATTTTTTGTATGGAAACTCTGCTTGTGAACTATTTTCCTTTGAATTTTACAGCACATACAGTTCTACTGGGTTTCCAACACTATATCGTGATGCTTGGTACCACAGTTTTGATTGCCACTATTCTCGTGCCTCAAATGGGTGGGAGTCCTGTGAGTATTGTTTACCATCTCCCTTGTGATAAATTCTTGGTTTTTTTTCAATTGTAATCTTATATCAACATTCTAAGCCTCTGTAATGCAATTGAATAGGGCGATAAAGCCCGAGTGATTCAATCGTTGTTGTTTATGTCGGGATTGAATACCCTTCTGCAAACCTGGTTCGGGACAAGACTCCCTACGGTGATGGGTCCATCATTGGCATATCTAATCCCTGTGTTGTCGATTATCAAAGATTTATCTAATGACAGCTTCCCATCAGAGCATCAGGTATGCAAGTTCCACACTAGAACCCGTTAGAATCGAATTGATTACAAGTTTTTGTGTTTTGTGTTTTGTTTTGTTTTGTACTTTATTTTCTTTCTCCATTACAAATGGTGACCAGTGTCATAAATTGTCCAAATTTTTGGAGCTGTTAGAAGAGGATAGATTGTGTTCTAACCGTGACCCATAATGTGCATAATTCAGAACCCAGTAAAGTCTAGAAATTGTCCCAGATTTTTAGATCAATGTTTCATATTTCAAGTTCCTAATGTGGGACCATATCTTAAATAAATCTTGACAATTCATCTGAAATTCTGGTAATTTTCCTGGGTTTTTTTTTTGCTGGGATGGTAGTGCTGCTGTTCAGAACCAGTCCCACTCTAGAGGACCACAAAACGGGTTCCCGAAAACAACACTGACATTGAAAGTTTATCTCTGACCCTGTCATCTCACCCGTGATGGAAGGATAGAAGACTCATCTTTGGAGATCTTTGAACCTTTTTTTCATTTGAACAGGAGAGACAGTGAGGGGATTCTGGCCCATGAAAATCAGATTTAAAAAAAAAAAACCCCATGAAAATCAGATTTCTTATATTAAAAAAAAGCCCATGAAAAGCATTATGTCAACTCATGTTACAAATGAAATTAAAAAAAATAATAATAAAAATAAAGAAATCAAGCTAATAAAAATTAAGGCAAGTTGAAGATGATGATGGAGGTGATGACCGGTTGTCGGTATTGGTTGTAGTTCGTCTGGACCGCCATTGCTGTAAGCTTCGAAAGGGAAGATGAAGGGCATAATGATGCTGTAAGCTTTGAAAGGGAGGGGAAAATAAGGGGAGTTAGTGGGGTTTTGCTGTAGAGAGTGTGGGTTAGTGGGGTTTTCCTCTTCACTTTTTAATTTAGTTTTTCTTTACTTTTAGTGAGTTTTTGTTTTGCTTTTCATGTGGTGGTTGCCACATCATATCGAGGCTCTTTTGTGGGTCAAAAAGAAGGGACCTGAGGCATTTTTCAATTCAGAACCATTGCTTTCAGTATCACTGATATTATCCATAGTTTTCATATATTTTTTTTAATTCATATATTCTTGAGGAATCCTGATCATCTGTGGTTGACTTAAGAAGTTAATTGTATAGTAAATTTAATATTGTTCTTCATAGGATCTCTATGTTAACTATTTCTAAAAACATAAATAGGATACCAATGCTTTGTATGATGATAATGAATAAAAGCATTCTTCAATAGAAAATCACTTTAATTGTGTAAGATAAGGATTGTCTCACTTAGAAAGTGATTGTACCACCCAATGAAATGTTTATTTTACAACTAATTTTATAATCTGATTTTAGAGGATCTGGACTCATTCTTGAAAAATTCATGAATAGCATATCCATTCTTTAGTCCCACTAAAAAGTCTCTATTCTTTATTTTTGTTCCTTCAATTATTTTCTTACTTTGTTAGTATATTATTATTTTTATTTATTTATTTTTGTTGTTGTCACTGACACATATTTTCACGATATGGTCCCAATTAATATTCAACTGTACAACCCAATTTTAGAAAACTTTAATCCCATCTCCCAATTAAATCGATGCTTGCTACACAAATGCTTTCTTTTCATCCAAATCTTGAGTTGGCGCCACGTCCCTGTCATGTCTTTGACTCTATTCTCATTACTTAATAGTCATTTTCTTTGTTCCTTTTTGTACTTCAGACACTTCAACTCAGATCGGATGGATTTCATTTCACATTGTAGACAATCTTAGTTGGCATTCCCTCATCTTGTCCTACATTGCCACGTACTCATCTTTGTGTTCCCTCTTTTTAGCTAATTATCCCTTACAATCCTAATTATGTTCAGATGCTAACGTATTCAATTTCTATATAGATACTTGACATGTAAATTGGTGGTTCATTATGATGTACTTACTCTTTAAATTGCAGTTGTGAATAGCATCTGAGTCTTAGCTTTTATTTGCATTTAGATTTATTGATTTTAATGGCGTGGCAGCTTTTGTTTTAAACCTTTCTGATGCAATTTTTATTGATTACTCTATAATGTGATGCCTGTAGAGGTTCCTTCACACTATGAGAGCTATTCAAGGATCCTTGATAGTGTCTTCCTTCATTAATATCATACTCGGTTATGGTAGGGTATGGGGAAAGTTTACAAGGTAATGTAGTTTGATCTTTAGCATCAAATTTATACTTGTCTTTCTAGACTCTAGCGATCTAGCTTATCATTTCTGGCTTGACATCTTGACACAACAATTGCCTATTTTTTATTAGTTGTTTCCTCGTCTCATTTTATTTGATTTTTTTTCCAGGTTCTTTAGTCCTGTTGTTATTGTGCCAGTGGTATGTCTGGTGGGTCTTGGTCTGTTTGGAAGGGGCTTCCCAGAGGTATATTTCCCTAGTAAAACACTTTAGGCTGTGTTTGGATCAATGACTCAAAAGAGATTTATGGACAGAAAAGAGAAAGGAAGGGGAAAGTAAATGAAACAGAAGCTAATATTTACTTTTCCTTTCCCTCCACAAACCCCTCTCAAATCTTTGATCGAAATACAACGTTAGTGCTTGTGTTAAGAGAATTTTAATTTGAAAAACTATTACATGAATCTGATGTGCCATTTACAGCTTGCCAAGTGCGTGGAGATTGGTCTGCCCATGCTATTATTACTGGTTGTCTCCCAGGTGATTGTCTTTGTTAAACTGACATCCATTATCGATGCTCTCTTTATAGAGCAAAACAAACACATGAAATTGAAACTGAATTCTTTTTCTGCAGTATTTGAAGCGCCTCCATCCAATTGGCCTTTTGGTACTTGAGCGGTATGCTTTGCTTATCTGCGTTGGGCTTATCTGGGCTTTTGCAGCTATTCTTACTGCATCTAGTGCTTACAACCATGTTAAGAATGAGACTGCACAGAGTTGTCGTATTGACCGTTCTTACCTTTTGTCATCTGCACCATGGTATTTTCGTAATTTCTCCTCTTGATTTGTATCTTCCTTTCAGAGTTCCTACAACGTGTTACATCTGTTTTGTTCAATATAGGATCAAATTTACGTACCCTTTCCAGTGGGGTACTCCAATATTCAGAGCAAGCCATGTCTTCGGGATGATGGGGGCTGCACTGGTTTCGACTGCGGAGGTTTAGTTGATATCCATTTTGATTCAGTCCCACATTATTTCGACTCTGCTGTTCTTAATTTTGGAGTTTTCTGATTCAAACCTTGTTTCATAATATTTTTTTTCTCCTGGCATCTATATAACCTTTGCACAAAATGAAATTTGAAAACCCTCTCCTTTGCCTGGTGGTAGTTGGCAAAAGTTGTTTGAGTTTTTCAGTCTTTAAACTTCTGAAATTTGTTGTGCAGTCCACTGGAACATTCTATGCTGCAGCACGGCTTGCAGGTGCTACATTACCGCCATCTCATGTTCTTACCCGAAGCATTGGTCTGCAGGTGCACGCACAGACTAAAAAGTTTCTTTGTATTGTTTTTTAATTGTTCTTCCCTTTTATGCAATTTTATAATATTCGGATAATAGAGAGTATTTAGTTGTGTGACTTTTTGAGTGCAGGGTATTGGCCAGCTGCTTGAAGGGATATTTGGTTCTCTTGTTGGTACCACTGCTTCTGTGTAAGGAATTGATACCCTTTTAATCATTGTTTTAATCCTGTTTTCCACGTCTATTTTTGCTCGTTTTGTTACTATAAATTCCAGGCATACTTCTTGTTGGGGCCTTTGTATGAATAACTAACAATAACACATTCAAATGTGAGATTGAACCTAACCAGCTGGTTTATCCATCCCGTTGAGTATATAATTATGACCTGGGTCATTAATATTCAGTAAAAGAGTCCATAGCTTAGACTGTGAGGGGGCACTGGTTTTGTCGTTAAAACTTGGCCTTTCAACCTTGTTTGGACTACAGGGGTGTACTGTTTCAGTGATTAAAACTCGGCCTACCAACCTTGTTAGACTACGGGGGCACTGGTGCAGTGATTAAGTCGGACTATAAACCTTGCCTAGCTTACAGGGGGAACTGGTTCAATGGTTAAAATTCAGGCTATCTACCTTGTGGTTGTGGATTTGAACCTGAGGGCAGCCACTTTGTGCAAATTATGCCACAGGTTAAGTCTGTACCCAATCTACCCCTCAAACCCCCTTCTAACGAGGACTAAACTGGGTGTTTTTTTTTTATTATAAAGGAGAGTCCATAGCTTAGACTAGTGATTGTATCCGTCTCAAGAATCACAATTTGATGGTTTATATAGAGTATTCAATGTTTTTTTTACTCTCTTATTTCTATGATAATGCAGTGAAAATGTAGGACTTCTCGGACTGACTCATGTTGGGAGCAGAAGAGCAGTGCAGCTATCCACTGCTTTCATGATCTTCTTCTCCATATTTGGTTTGTTATTGTTCCACCATAATCATAATGATATCAAGGACTCTGCTTTGAGCTTATGACCAAATGTTTGACTCGAAATCCCATCTTTCAGGAAAGTTTGGGGCCTTCTTTGCATCAATACCTTTGCCAATATTTGCTGCCATATACTGCATCTTGTATGGTATTGTTGGTGAGTGTTCGTGTCATCTTCATGGTCTCTAACTTCATGTCTTATCAATGTGTAGTGTAAGTAATGTGCTTTCTCATATTTCTGCAGCTGCTATTGGGATTTCGTTCATTCAATTTGCAAACAACAACTCCATGCGAAATATTTATGTTCTGGGCCTTTCTCTGTTCCTTGGAATATCAATACCGCAATATTTTGTCTCTCACACTGATTTGTCGTCTGTCCCTGTCCATGGGCCTGTTAAAACCAATGCTGGATGGGTAAGAAGTCTTTTGTTCTTGCCTTCATAACATTTAGTCCTTCCATTTGTTTGTTTGCTGGTGAGATAATCTTAAGATGATTCTCTTCTCTTATCTATGAAGAGCTGAACAAAGTTAATGGGGACATAGTGAATAATATACTGCAAATTTTAGCAACAAAATAGGAAACTGTAATTTTACGTTGTATTTAGATCATAAATTTGGAAAGAGAAAGAGAAATGACAATTTTTCAGCTTATAGTTCGTTCACATTTGGCTCGCATTTTTCTTTTCCCTTTCCAAATTTCTACTTGAATCCATAATCTAAACACAACCTAAGAGATTCTAATATTGGGAACTGAGGTATATGCTCTGCATTGTAGGAGGCACATTTTAAACCTAGGAAGACTTTGTCATTGGAGGCTTAGCTTAAGGTGTTTCAGATCTAGATTATATTTTAGATTTCAATGTAGTGAATAAAAAATTATATGATATTTTAAAATTATTACCTCAAACCAACCCCGCCCTTCCTCTTTCCGCGAAAGGAAAAAATTAAATTGAGAAGCTGGGGAAGGGTGTTTTTTGCTCCTGCTTGCTTATTATCAACTTTCAGCTGTATCAAACAAGCCTGAAATGTTGTGTTTTGGTTGCAGTTCAATGACATATTGAATACATTTTTCTCTTCGCCTCCGACTGTGGCAATGATCGTTGGGACGACACTGGATAACACATTTGAAGCACACAGCCGAGAGGAAAGAGGGATTCCGTGGTGGGCACCCTTCCAGTCGAGGAGGGGTGATAGCAGAACCGAGGAGTTTTATAATTACCCTCTTAGGATAAATGAGTTAATCCCTTCCAGGTTTCGCTAAAATACTCTGCAGACACTTGTATATTACTTATGTATAAGTTTAGTGTTTTATTAGACAGTCACCTCATTTAAATCAACTTTTTGTTTTAAATCATGTACTTGTAATTTTGTGGATATGAAGTTTGAACTGAGTTAACAGAAAGCTTATGTTGGCTTCACAAGGTTATAGAGTTAATGATAGGATTTAGCTTTTGTCAAGTTATCATATCAATTTGAGAGAGCTTGGCTTAGTAGGCTTATTTTAGAATTGATGTTGGTGGTTTGAATAGTTTACTTTATGGGATTTATTGAGTAAAATATTTATGTAATCAATCATGATAATAATTGAATATCAGTAGTTATATGTTTAAATTATGTGGGTTTTAAAAAAATAGATGACAATTATAATTTTAAAAATAGTTATTTATTTTTTAAAATATAAACTTGATTTAAACATAATTATCGATGTCCGATTATTTTAATTTTTTGTATGAATATTTTTTATTCAATGAATTTTAAAAAATAAATGGTTTGGATTGTTGAAATTGGTCTCAAAATGAGCTTAGAAAGTCTAAATATTTTCTTAAATTGAGATGGTCTATTTGTTGAATATTTAATGAGTTAGCAAAAAAGAAAATGGTTTTCTTAAGAAATATATATATCTTATCTCTCATTTTCTTAGCCTGATCAATTAAAAGCAAAAATGTTTTTAAATCCTCAATATCCAAATGTAGGTAAGAAATTTTTTTAAGGTGTCCGTTTGAACATTTCCAAGGTAAGAGGTGTATGGTGGTGATGGTGAGATTTTTAAGATTATTCTGGTCTATATGTTTGCTCAAGGGTAAACTATTTAATGAGTCATGGCCATTGAAATGTTGGTCATGCATTATTGCAAAACACAATGGTAATGTTATAGTCCATTTGGTGTAGTTCTTTGACGCTTTTTTAGAGTGTTTTTTATTTTAAGTTTGTAATAAAGTGTTGGTGTATTTTTACTTGATGTTTATTGTTTCTGAGGCAAAAACACTAGACGCTAATAAATTCGAGGGTTGTCTAAATTTATAATGTTAAATATAAATAGATTTATTATTATTATTTTATGAGTAGAATTGCATCTGGTGACAAAACAAATCTGATAAGAAAATCATTTATGTATAATATTTTCTTAGTACAAAATTGACCAGAGTTGCAAATGAGTAGCAAATTGTTCAATCTTAATTTGAAAATTTAACTATTTTTAAAATGAGTTTAAGGGTTGGTTTGGGATGTCCTAAAAAAAGTGTACTTTTTGTTTTTTTACGAAAAGATATGCAGAAAAAGATGTGCAGAAAAGTAGAGAGGTGATATTATGATAAAAAGATAAAAAGATGGATTACATAGGTTATGCCAAACCTAGCCTAAGTTTCATGTCAATCTCAAATGAATTTTAATCTAGTGGATCGGGTTGAACTTAAATAGTTTAATTTTTTATAATGCATGTAATTGTGTAAGACAAATAGTAAAATGTTTCAAATTTTATGTGAAAACTTAGGATTGTTTTGAAAATAAACTTTTTAATGACTTTTAAATTTTTTTTGAAAAAACGTTTAAAATGATAACTAAAGAGAAAATTTTGTTTTTTAAAAAATATTTTTTTCACATTTTAATTAAAATAGTAAATTACCAAAATTGAGTTGAAAAGTGAGTGTGAACGCTTTCTTTCCAACAGACAATTGAGTCGGCAGTGGGAAGGTGCTGATGCTGACCACTGACTGAGACATTTTAACGTTTGTTTGTTAACTGTTACGAAGAGCTGAGTGAGTGAGTGAGTGAGTGAGCCCAGTGAGTGAGTGAGTGATTGACTGACGCGAATCATCTCAAAATCCTCACTAGGGTCCACACGCTTTATCGTCTCACATTGATTGACACGTGCAATTCTCAATCCGGGACCCACCAAATTGGGACTTCTCAGATTTATATTTGTTATTTATTTCTATACTTGTGGATATATTATAATAATCTTTCCTAAATTTTTCACAAAATATGGCAAGGCTTATAAGTAATTTTAATGTAATTACATTAGTTTTCTTTTGATAAGATTAAAAAAATTAAAATTAATGTAGATGAGATGAAAATATAAAAATAAATAAAATAAAATATATGTTTCAAAATAAAAAAGATGATTTTTTAAAAAAAATATTCATAGATTAACGAATTATTATGAAAATGAAACTAAGTATTATATGAATTAAAATCTTAATAAAATTTATTGTAATTATCTCAAATTTATGATTTTTTTGGTTAATTTATCTTAATTTATTGATTGTCCCAAAATAGTAAAATTAATTGCCACTTAATTTGAAAAAATGATAGAGAACCTTATTATATTATTATTTTACTATTATACTACTGAAATGAGTATTTTATATCATTTTCCTTTCAACAATGATTCATCCCCTTTTTCCCCCACCCCTTTGACCCCCTCTCTCTCTCATTGGTTACATTTTCTTTTTCTTTTTCTTTTTTTTCCTGCTCCTCCAATCACCACCTGCCACGTGACAAAGGGGGTGAGGGGGTGACCCCCAAAAGGGGGTCCCAAGCATTATTCTTTTCCTTTATAGTATACTGTGCTATTTTAGTATAAATACTGCAGGATAATAGTTTGCTCTTACGCTTTAAAGGGGGTGTTTGGCAAGAAAAAAAATAGCTTAATTTAGGTTAAAATTCACAAAAAGATAAAATAGGCTAAAATAATTAATAAGACAAAATATCACATCAAACTCATAATTATTTCACTTTTTCTCTCACAAACATCACATTCAACCACAAAAAAATCTAATCATCTTTCCAAACACAAAAATTTTAACCTACTAAAATAGTCAAAAACTAAAATAACCTACTAAAATAACAACTTCCCAAACGAAGCCAAAGTCACAACCCTTTGACAAGTCAAATTAAAACTCATTTTTGCCATTTGAATAAAAACACTTTTTTTAACATCTTTCAATGGAGTCGTAGATGTTCTAAGCAAGTAATCAAGAAAATTAGGCGAGGGGACATATCAATGTCATTGATGATGTGATGCTAATTGTAGAATTTACAGTGAACTTTCAAACAAATTTGCAATGCAAGCAACCAAATATTCAAAGATCCACTCAGAATATCAATCCATCATGTTCATGTTCAATTTGGGATTTGGGATCCAACTCTCAAGAGTAAATTCCGAATATTTGTAATTGTTGAAAAACATAATTTTATGGAGATTTTAATGTGAAATTAAAGTAAGTCTCAATCAGGTAGGATCAAATAGGTTTAAATTCTTTGTAACAAGATCTTTACACTACAAAAAAATAACAAAAAATCATTGAGAATTGAATGAGAAATTGTCTCATAAAATTGGTTTCATGAATGAGGTATTGAGAATGGCCACATTGATTGTAAATGAAATTATTGATGGGTATTTAAATATAAGTTTTTGATAAGGGCGTGAGCCCTTTGGGACATCTAAATTTTTCGAAGGAAATGAGTGATGGACGCTTCAAGGATGGACTTAGATCAAAACTATGTGCCAAGTTGGTTAAACAAAAATTGCCACACGTGCCACCCGCCTAGACCAGGCCGGTCCGTGTTTCGTGGATCTTGAGGAATGGGTTAAGTTTGGGTTGGGCCGGATTAGTGGTCCACCAACGTAATCTATTTGGGTTAGGTCTGTTTGGTGGCTACTGATATACACACGTGTAGGGCTGTGCAGCAGATCTACCGACCGACCCACAAAATCTGCCTGACCCGACTTGAACACTTTTGGGTGGATGCGTAACACATGGCTGGCGGATGCGGGCCCAAATTTTATGTTTTCACGGGTTCGGGTCGAGTTGTGGGTGATTTGCCCTTTTACTCATTAAACTCGACACGCTCGCCAAATCCTTTTTTTTTTTTTTAATTTTTTATTTTACGCCCTCAACCATTTTCTTTTTGGGTCTTTTCTCATTATTCAACAGACAAGCACATACACACACGCGCACACACTCTCTCTCTCTCTCTCTTCCCAAAACCCTACCCATTGTGTGACGGTGACGGTGACGGTGATTTTCTCCATCATCTGACCAGCAGCAAGCAACAATCTACACTGAACGCTGATTGGCAATCATGGAGGTGAGGCATTCTCTTATCTTCTTTTTTTCTCTTCTTCTCTTCTCTTTTTCTCTTATTCTTTTATCTTCTTCTCCTCAATCTCTAATCTGTTCTGTATTTTGTTTTTGTTTTGTTCCAGTTCGAAAACCAAAAAGGTGGTGAGATTCAGAGTGTGAGGGTTCTACACACACAAAGAGAAAGACTTTGAATTTGATTTCTGTAAAAGTCGATCTTCTTCCCCTTGTGATGGACCTAAGCCCTCTAAGTTCAATCAATTCTCTCTCTCTCTCTCTCTCTCTCTCTCTCTCTCTCTCTCTCTCCTGTGTTGTGTGTCTCTCTCTCTCTCTTTCTCTCTTTCTCTCTCTCTCTCTCTCTATATATATATATATATATGCGCACATTGTGTATATCGAATTTGCGTGATTTCATTTCTTGCAAATTGATTGCACTTTTACTTGATTTTATTTGAGTAAAAATGGTTAGGGTTAGCACAATTTGTTTTAATCTTCATATGGTGATTGTTAATGGTAGATCTGGTTTTAATTTCAGTGTTTAGGTATTTCGATTTTCGTTTGCAGAGTATAAAATAGATATAGATGTAACAATACAGAGGCATATAATCTCTACTACTGCTCTGTTTATGGCTTTGGTAGTTTGAATTATTTTTATATTTTAAGAACAACAGTAATATGTAATACTTTATGAGCATGTTTGTTTAGACGGACTGGATAAGGAGAGATTGTAACTCATTGGACTGTTAGTCTTGGGATACATTGTCCCCGGACTGTTTAGTTGAACTGGATTTGTATCCTATGTTTGTTTAGTCATGGGATTAGATGTCTAGATTAGATTATTTTTAGTGAATCTAATGTTTAGTTGGACAGACTAGATAAAGATAAATGTTCAAAAGACTATTTTGCCCTTGTAATTTATAATTTATAATTTAACAGCGCTAAAAAATTTTAATTTATAAGGCCATAATTTTTAATTTATTATTTTCAATTAAATTAGATTTATAATTTATAATTTATATTCTTTATATAATATATAATTTCAAATTAACAACACTAAAAAAATAATTTATAAATATTCAAAAGACTATTTTATCATTTTCTAATTGTTTATTAAGCAATAGCATGAGAGTAAAATGGACATTTTACACATTAATCCCATGGGATACCAAT